AACCATCGGCTTTGATACCAATTGTAGGGAGGTTCGACACACATAGGTTTTCACATTGGTAAGATATTGTCCGTTTTGGGTCAAGCCCTCACGGATTTGCTTTTGGTACCACTCCAAAAGACCTCTCACCAAAAGAGATATCTTATGTGTATATAAATCCATATTCATCTCTTGTTTTATTCTGTGGGACTTTGTTTGTATCCGAATACTACTAACCTAATTATGCTTCTAACATGTAGGCATGAAATGAAATTAAATATCACAATGCTTGAAAACTGCCTTCTCTTCCTTCAAGAATAGAAACTATAAGCATCCATGAAAAAGGGGGAGTGAGAGAAATTGAAAGAATAAAGTTTAACCCCTTAATCAACTTCTCAAGATTTCATTGCCTCATTTTTATATTAAAACTAGGCATACAAAGCACCAATGTGTTTGGCATTGTAATCCCCTAACTCCTTGTAAGTAATAAACCCAATAGAATCGTCATGACATACTTACCACTGACCAACTTGGGTTGAAATGATATTTACAAATTGCAATCAATCACCACACAGATCAATAAAAGCTAAAGGTACAATTAAGAAATTTTGTGGAGGACGAGGAAGAGACTAGTCATACACACTAAAGGAAATCGACATACTAGAGTGGGATCAATACATTTGTTTCTCCGAAGAAGCATTTATAGCATAACATGTACTGATAACAGTACGATACTCTGCTTTTATACACATATACTAACTGTACAGAGGCTCACTATCTTTTGTACATTTTCATTTCTAATCAATAAATCATTTTTATCTTTTGCTGTTCTTCAAATAGTGTTGAAGGCTAACAGGAGATAGTTTCTAAAATATTAACATGTACATATGCCCAAAATATATTTGACGTGAAAAGTTGAACACAAAAACCAACCTTGCATTATGTCACTGTACTAATGGAAGATATACTTCCTTCACTCTGAACATGTTTAGCTAAGTAAGGCGTTAGACCCTCAAAAAATAACATTTGACAATTTTACTTGTGATGTTTCAAGCATATCACGAATGTATCATGTAATATCTAACAGTTTTTAGCTTTGTGTCCAAAACAGATGTGCGATAAAAGTAATTATTACCATCCCACTAAAGCTTATGATAAGGAGACTTTTCCTTCCTTGTTTGTCCATTAAGGAGGAAGCGATAGCAGTTCCTGCAACAAATAAAACATAAATCAGGATCCATAAATTGCTTGAGCAACAAGTACAATTTGAATTTTATGATTAAATAATACTAACCAAAAACATTTGATGCACCAACCAAGGCACTCGCTGCAACATCAGACGCAATTCCAGCACTACGGAAAACAGAAGTTGAATAATACACTACGGCATTTATTCCAGCCAATTGCTGGAACAAAAAAAGCGCTGCCCCAACACTGACAACTGCAACAAGGCACATTTTAAGGAAGTGCTATATTATTTCATATAAGAATGCATATAGTAGACTAAAAAGTTAGTTGGCCAGTGAAATTAAAACATAAACCATGTTCTGAATTGTATGTTCAATCATATTTGTGAATCCTTTATGTGAGATTAAATCAGAGAAATATGTTTCTAGAGGGCTTGAAGAACCCCTCTCATGGTTCTCTATTTATATATTTCAAGGTTGATGTGAAACATCAAAAGCACGGTCCTAGACTACAAGGACAGAGAACTAGACATAGAAGTTATCTAACACTCAACCCCCTATCTTAGACGTAATTCCCTGTCACATAGTCAAAAGACTGTCAATACAAAATAATCTCCCCTCCAAGGAACTGATTGGTCTAATTATATAAACCAACTCCCAACTGACAGCATTACATCCACTTACCTTTCTACTACTTCCTTTATTCACCGCTTCCTTTATTCTTCTCTTCTATAATAACTTTTTCCACCACTTCCTTTTATTTCTCCTTCTATAGTAAACCTTCCATATCTTATCATTTTCTTCTATAATGCCTATTCCACTCTTCCTCATCATTTACATGCCTAACAGGGGCATATTTAATGGTGGAAAAAAGAAAGGAGTAGTCTTAAAGAATGTAACATCAACAGAGACTAGATACCATTGTAATTAAGGAAAGAAACGTCAATATAGGGAAACCTAATAATGGCTAACAATTAAGAATAAAGAGGTATTATCAGTTGTACATGTTTCTCTAAACACTAAAGATCAAATCATATCTTCTATAAATAGTATTATCATTAAATAATAATTCTTCACACAAATATATCAGATTAAATAATAATTCTTCATACAAATATAAGAAGGGCCTCAAGGAAATAAAACATCAAAGGGAAGTCTAAGGGTTATCAGGTCTGATCAATGTGGTTTACATTGAAACAAGATAATGGATTTGCACGAAGCATCATGCTGGATAAAATTATTACAATCAATGTGGTTTTTACATTGAACTTCCTTTAAACCAACAAGTTTAAAGAAAAAACAATTCTACGAAATGGCGCTCGAGATATGTAGGTCAGAATTATCAGTTTTGGTCAAGTGTAATCAAAACTAGAATCAATTGGAACTGAATTTTAGGATACCTTTCCAATATCGGCTACTAAACAGATCAAACCACCCAGCTTCAGGTTCAGATGAACCTTGACTAGCTGTTGATAAGTCAAGCATAACTGTAGCAACTCTTTCTTTTCCATAAAGTGTTTTAATAGCCTTTTCAGCTTCTGCGAGTTTTCCTTGCTGTAAAATAATACACGGAATTTTCTCAGAAAACCTACAATAAAATTACTGCATTAAACTCTAGACAAATACATATTAGTCATCCATGTATGTATTATGTTGGCTTCTATACCAAAATATTAGTTCACAACAGTTAAGTTTTAATTCAGTTTAAGCATTAAGGAAACTGGTAGTGTTTTCAAGCCTTATCTTAACATACATATAAGGCACATCCTTTATATACAATATGTATGATTAGTAGGATTATGTTGGAAAGTGAATCTTCCTTAATTGCAATCAGTCCTAGCTTGTGGTAATTATGTCCTCTTTGGAGATTACCTATATTGCAGCCCCCAGAAGGTGTTTTAGGTTTGGAGTCTGAATACTTCAAAAATGGAAAAGTATATATACTTTTTTAACATTTTTTTTAGAACATACTTCTTGGATACTTGTAGAAGGCTTCCGAATAAGTATTTGAAGTATCCAATATTTTTAATTTTTTTCTAAGAATTGGCCTGGATACTTGATGAATGCATTTTATGCACACTTTTAGCATGGTTAATTGGATTGTCTACCACTTTTTTAGTGCACAATTTTAGCCTAGTTTTGGTAAATGAATCATAAAAGAGGAGGGATTAGTCAGAAATGACCATAATTATATATACTTTTATATTGACTAACCTTCTTCGAATAGGTTGATGAAGACATAAACCTAGGCAAAGAGCTTTCAAAACAAGAAGAATCCCCTCAGCTGAGATCAACAAAGTTGCAAATAACTGTTTTAACTGCCATTTTCCCAACGCAATGATAGATCTAACTCTAACGACCAATCCCCTCAACTAATTACATTTCGCTGAGTGAATTTATGCAGATCTGGAAAAACTTGAGTGGACTTTCTCCATGGACCTTGTATGAATTTTATAGCATTGAACACAATATATAGGTGTCCGTACAGTCACTTTAGAGGGAGACTCTTTAGTCAGTTCATCTAGTTTTCAATTTAAATTTTGCCTTTTAGAATTACGTGTTTCTCTCCATTTTCTATCTTTCTTAACAAGCTTTCGTCTACATTTGGAGCATTTTCAGATTCAACAATTTAATTCAGTTCTAGATTTCCAATTTCTAATCAATTTTTTTTCTCTAAAGGCTACCCATTTGAAAGCATAACTATAAACTGATATATCAATTAGGTTGGCATCCCAAAGCTCAACAATCACTTGCTGTCATGATGGATAAATTATTATTAAAAAAGAAACAAAAAAGAAAAACAATATGGGAGGACTAAACCTCCAAGGTAAGTCTCCAAGGTTCTATTTAACACCTCTATTTGGCCATCCTATTACTGGTCCGAAACACCTCTCCACTCTGCCTACTGTTCTGGAGTTAATTTCTCCTCCAAACCTTCCCTTTTTTCCAACTCTGTTCTTCCCAAATCCCATATTAATGGGACAGCTTCTATCTCGGATTCTTTTTGTTAGGACTTAGAGAGTATAGGAAAGGAGAAAAAGAATAGAGAAATAAGGAATTGCTAAGCGAATAAGGGGGCGGGACAAATGTCTATATAAGAGGAGCTCTTTTATTGTTTTTGGTAGACAGTTAGAAACTTGGCTTGTGCAAACAGGTTTGAGTACCTGGTGAAGGAGGTTAAGCTCCTGATATCTCATTGTATTCTTGTTTCTTGATGTGAATACCATACTATACGTTGATTCAATTGCTTGTGCTATTCTTTTGACTTGAGAGAGAGAGGAAGATAGTTAGGATTCATACCTTGTTTCCTAACAAAGTGGTCCGACCTGCCGGATCCCATTTGGAGAGAAGTGTCGGATCCGCTTGGGAGGGGACTGCCGAATCGAGAAGTTGTCGGATCAAGAAGCTGCTGGACTAAGAAGTTGCCGGATAACTGTACGGTGAGAATGAAAACTATGGAAGGAAGAATGAACGTAGTCGAGGGACGATTGGAGCACATTGAGATGGTCGTAGACGGATTGAAGGCGGAGACCACAGCGAATCGTCAAGAATCGATAGCAATGCACAAGGACATCCAAGAACTGATAAGGTTGATGGGGGTGCACAACAAGCAAACAGAGGAAGGTTCCAATGGGAGTCAAGGGTATGTAAACAATAATGGTGGAAACCAGCGCGTGGATAATGGGGATAGAGATGGTGAGGGGGAGCGATCGGGGAATTTACCTAATTGGAGACGAAGGGTGGAATTACCCATTTTCGAGGGACCCGACCCCTTGAATTGGATCAGCAGGGCGGAGAAATTTTTCGAAATTCAAAAGGTAGCAGAGGAGGAGAAGATTGAACTGGCGCATATTAGCATGGAGGGAAGCGCCGAATATTGGTTCAAGTTTTGGAAAGATAAGGCAAGTAACCGAACCTGGGAGGGCCTCAAGGAGGCGTTGTTGATCCATTTTGAGAGTCGTCACCGAGGCGGAATTTTTGAAAGAATGGCGACGATCAAACAAACGTCCACTGTAGAGAAGTACGTGAGGGAGTTTGAAGCGTTAGCCGGACAGACGAATGAGTTTTCCGATAACCAGTTGCTTGCTGGGTTATTTTTTGGCGGGACTGCACGAGGAGTTGAGGTGTCAAATGAGGCCCCATGACCCACGTGATCTGATGACGGCGATGAGGATCGCGCGCAACGTGGAGGAGGCGCTTCGTGGCCTGGGTTTGCTGGGGTGGTCTGGGGCCAAGAACCCGCCTTTATGGGGCGATCCACCAACGGCGGAGCAGTGGTGGCGAGAACCGAAGTGGCGAGGAGTAACCCGGGGAGGACTGTCGCAACTGAGAGCGTCGGATCGGTGAGGAGAGACAGCACGACGGGTAGTGCGGCGAGAGAAGGAAATCCTAGGGGAAGTGATGACAGAGGAAGAAACTCGCAGAACCTTCCCTACCCAGAATTTCTGAAGCGAAGAGAAGAAGGGAGGTGTTACAGATGTGGGGGACCTTTCAGGCCAGGGCACCAATGCCCTGAGAAGAGTTTACGAATAGTGTTATTGGCTGAGGATGAAGAGGAGGACGTAGAAGAGGAGGGGGTAGAAGTGGAGCTGAAACAGATGGAGCTCTCGGCCTTCTCGGCTGGCGGAATAGGATAGCGTTGCATGAGCAGTTTTAGTTCAACCTTGGGGACAAGGTTGATCTTCAAGGGGGGAGTAATGTTAGGACTTAGAGAATATAGGAAAGGAGAAAAAGAATAGAGAAATAAGGAACTGCTGAGCGATTAAGGGGGCGGGACAAATGTCTATATAAGAGGAGCTCTTTTATTGTTTTCGGTAGACAGTTAGAAACTTGGCTTGTGCAGACCGGTCTGAGTACCTGGTGAAGAAGGTTAAGCTCCTGATATCTCATTGTATTCTTGTTTCTTGATGTGAATACCATACTATACGTTGATTCAATTGCTTGTGCTATTCTTTTGACTTGAGAGAGAGAGGAAGATAGTTAGGATTCATACCTTGTTTCCTAACACTTTCAATAGAGCTTATGGAGAAACAACTTTTTTTGTCAAGGTTGGATCTCCATAATCTGGACTTTTTGCCCTTTCTCATTGAAGCTCATAGTTAAGCTTTTCCAGTTAACCTGAACCTCTATGAAGCTAACCAAGTTATCCAAGAATTAAATTTACTCCTTCCTGCTCGAACAAATAAAACATTTCCTCCACCACATGATGCTCCTGTATGACTATGTTGCAACAATATCCACTAGTGAGCTTATGATGGCCATCTCCAAACCAGACATTGTGTGGTGGTGTTGCTTCCACTAGAAGATCGAGATCAGCCACCAAATCTATTGAAATAAAATTGTGGCTTGCTCCACTATCAATTAAGATCAGAACCATCATCCCGTTCACCCATCCTTGTAATTTCATTAAGTTGGTTTGAGTCAGTCTCCCTGCTGAAAACAATGATAGTTCCATATGTTTCTACTCTATCTCTTCCTCTTCTCCTGCTGAAAACAATGATAGTTCCATATGTTTCTACTCTATCTCTTCCTCTTCTCCTGTTTTGCCTGCCTCCTCATCTTCAACCATGATTAAGACCCCACATATTCTTCTCTGGTCACCGATGTCCAAGGCTGTAAGCTCCCCCACAATGAAAACATCTCCTTTCTTCCCTTCTTCTGATGTACTCTGGATATGGGAGATTATGTACTCCTCTACTCCTAGCTTTCCCTACCTAATTTCCTCCAATCTTGGAACCAACCGAGGTCCTGCTTCCCACTTTTCTGCCAGTACTAATGTTGATGGAAGTCCCTTTCGAGAGTTTTTCAAAGACAAAACTCCTTTCTTTTTCCCAAACCTCTTGATCAGCACCTCTGTCAAATAATCTCCCAAGAAGGATTCTTGGCCTTCTTTCTCTAGAATCTAAACCGATGGTTGGCCCCTCCTTCCATATTGATAAACACAAACAGAGTTTTTCCTTTGATGAGATGTTCTGAATTTTGAAGAACTTCTCCATTCTTACTGTCCACCCCATNTAGAGGGCTTGAAGAACCCCTCTCATGGTTCTCTATTTATATATTTCAAGGTTGATGTGAAACATCAAAAGCACGGTCCTAGACTACAAGGACAGAGAACTAGACATAGAAGTTATCTAACACTCAACCCCCTATCTTAGACGTAATTCCCTGTCACATAGTCAAAAGACTGTCAATACAAAATAATCTCCCCTCCAAGGAACTGATTGGTCTAATTATATAAACCAACTCCCAACTGACAGCATTACATCCACTTACCTTTCTACTACTTCCTTTATTCACCGCTTCCTTTATTCTTCTCTTCTATAATAACTTTTTCCACCACTTCCTTTTATTTCTCCTTCTATAGTAAACCTTCCATATCTTATCATTTTCTTCTATAATGCCTATTCCACTCTTCCTCATAATTTACATGCCTAACAGGGGCATATTTAATGGTGGAAAAAAGAAAGGAGTAGTCTTAAAGAATGTAACATCAACAGAGACTAGATACCATTGTAATTAAGGAAAGAAACGTCAATATAGGGAAACCTAATAATGGCTAACAATTAAGAATAAAGAGGTATTATCAGTTGTACATGTTTCTCTAAACACTAAAGATCAAATCATATCTTCTATAAATAGTATTATCATTAAATAATAATTCTTCACACAAATATATCAGATTAAATAATAATTCTTCATACAAATATAAGAAGGGCCTCAAGGAAATAAAACATCAAAGGGAAGTCTAAGGGTTATCAGGTCTGATCAATGTGGTTTACATTGAAACAAGATAATGGATTTGCACGAAGCATCATGCTGGATAAAATTATTACAATCAATGTGGTTTTTACATTGAACTTCCTTTAAACCAACAAGTTTAAAGAAAAAACAATTCTACGAAATGGCGCTCGAGATATGTAGGTCAGAATTATCAGTTTTGGTCAAGTGTAATCAAAACTAGAATCAATTGGAACTAAATTTTAGGATACCTTTCCAATATCGGCTACTAAACAGATCAAACCACCCAGCTTCAGGTTCAGATGAACCTTGACTAGCTGTTGATAAGTCAAGCATAACTGTAGCAACTCTTTCTTTTCCATAAAGTGTTTTAATAGCCTTTTCAGCTTCTGCGAGTTTTCCTTGCTGTAAAATAATACACGGAATTTTCTCAGAAAACCTACAATAAAATTACTGCATTAAACTCTAGACAAATACATATTAGTCATCCATGTATGTATTATGTTGGCTTCTATACCAAAATATTAGTTCACAACAGTTAAGTTTTAATTCAGTTTAAGCATTAAGGAAACTGGTAGTGTTTTCAAGCCTTATCTTAACATACATATAAGGCACATCCTTTATATACAATATGTATGATTAGTAGGATTATGTTGGAAAGTGAATCTTCCTTAATTGCAATCAGTCCTAGCTTGTGGTAATTATGTCCTCTTTGGAGATTACCTATATTGCAGCCCCCAGAAGGTGTTTTAGGTTTGGAGTCTGAATACTTCAAAAATGGAAAAGTATATATACTTTTTTAACATTTTTTTTAGAACATACTTCTTGGATACTTGTAGAAGGCTTCCGAATAAGTATTTGAAGTATCCAATATTTTTAATTTTTTTCTAAGAATTGGCCTGGATACTTGATGAATGCATTTTATGCACACTTTTAGCATGGTTAATTGGATTGTCTACCACTTTTTTAGTGCACAATTTTAGCCTAGTTTTGGTAAATGAATCATAAAAGAGGAGGGATTAGTCAGAAATGACCATAATTATATATACTTTTATATTGACTAACCTTCTTCGAATAGGTTGATGAAGACATAAACCTAGGCAAAGAGCTTTCAAAACAAGAAGAATCCCCTCAGCTGAGATCAACAAAGTTGCAAATAACTGTTTTAACTGCCATTTTCCCAACGCAATGATAGATCTAACTCTAACGACCAATCCCCTCAACTAATTACATTTCGCTGAGTGAATTTATGCAGATCTGGAAAAACTTGAGTGGACTTTCTCCATGGACCTTGTATGAATTTTATAGCATTGAACACAATATATAGGTGTCCGTACAGTCACTTTAGAGGGAGACTCTTTAGTCAGTTCATCTAGTTTTCAATTTAAATTTTGCCTTTTAGAATTACGTGTTTCTCTCCATTTTCTATCTTTCTTAACAAGCTTTCATCTACATTTGGAGCATTTTCAGATTCAACAATTTAATTCAGTTCTAGATTTCCAATTTCTAATCAATTTTTTTTCTCTAAAGGCTACCCATTTGAAAGCATAACTATAAACTGATATATCAATTAGGTTGGCATCCCAAAGCTCAACAATCACTTGCTGTCATGATGGATAAATTATTATTAAAAAAGAAACAAAAAAGAAAAACAATATGGGAGGACTAAACCTCCAAGGTAAGTCTCCAAGGTTCTATTTAACACCTCTATTTGGCCATCCTATTACTGGTCCGAAACACCTCTCCACTCTGCCTACTGTTCTGGAGTTAATTTCTCCTCCAAACCTTCCCTTTTTTCCAACTCTGTTCTTCCCAAATCCCATATTAATGGGACAGCTTCTATCTCGGATTCTTTTTGTTAGGACTTAGAGAGTATAGGAAAGGAGAAAAAGAATAGAGAAATAAGGAATTGCTAAGCGAATAAGGGGGCGGGACAAATGTCTATATAAGAGGAGCTCTTTTATTGTTTTTGGTAGACAGTTAGAAACTTGGCTTGTGCAAACAGGTTTGAGTACCTGGTGAAGGAGGTTAAGCTCCTGATATCTCATTGTATTCTTGTTTCTTGATGTGAATACCATACTATACGTTGATTCAATTGCTTGTGCTATTCTTTTGACTTGAGAGAGAGAGAAAGATAGTTAGGATTCATACCTTGTTTCCTAACAAAGTGGTCCGACCTGCCGGATCCCATTTGGAGAGAAGTGTCGGATCCGCTTGGGAGGGGACTGCCGGATCGAGAAGTTGTCGGATCAAGAAGCTGCTGGACTAAGAAGTTGCCGGATAACTGTACGGTGAGAATGAAAACAATGGAAGGAAGAATGAACGTAGTCGAGGGACGATTGGAGCACATTGAGATGGTCGTAGACGGATTGAAGGCGGAGACCACAGCGAATCGTCAAGAATCGATAGCAATGCACAAGGACATCCAAGAACTGATAAGGTTGATGGGGGTGCACAACAAGCAAACAGAGGAAGGTTCCAATGGGAGTCAAGGGTATGTAAACAATAATGGTGGAAACCAGCGCGTGGATAATGGGGATAGAGATGGTGAGGGGGAGCGATCGGGGAATTTACCTAATTGGAGACGAAGGGTGGAATTACCCATTTTCGAGGGACCCGACCCCTTGAATTGGATCAGCAGGGCGGAGAAATTTTTCGAAATTCAAAAGGTAGCAGAGGAGGAGAAGATTGAACTGGCGCATATTAGCATGGAGGGAAGCGCCGAATATTGGTTCAAGTTTTGGAAAGATAAGGCAAGTAACCGAACCTGGGAGGGCCTCAAGGAGGCGTTGTTGATCCATTTTGAGAGTCGTCACCGAGGCGGAATTTTTGAAAGAATGGCGACGATCAAACAAACGTCCACTGTAGAGAAGTACGTGAGGGAGTTTGAAGCGTTAGCCGGACAGACGAAAGAGTTTTCCGATAACCAGTTGCTTGCTGGGTTATTTTTTGGCGGGACTGCACGAGGAGTTGAGGTGTCAAATGAGGCCCCATGACCCACGTGATCTGATGACGGCGATGAGGATCGCGCGCAACGTGGAGGAGGCGCTTCGTGGCCTGGGTTTGCTGGGGTGGTCTGGGGCCAAGAACCCGCCTTTATGGGGCGATCCACCAACGGCGGAGCAGTGGTGGCGAGAACCGAAGTGGCGAGGAGTAACCCGGGGAGGAATGTCGCAACTGAGAGCGTCGGATCGGTGAGGAGAGACAGCACGACGGGTAGTGCGGCGAGAGAAGGAAATCCTAGGGGAAGTGATGACAGAGGAAGAAACTCGCAGAACCTTCCCTACCCAGAATTTCTGAAGCGAAGAGAAGAAGGGAGGTGTTACAGATGTGGGGGACCTTTCAGGCCAGGGCACCAATGCCCTGAGAAGAGTTTACGAATAGTGTTATTGGCTGAGGATGAAGAGGAGGACGTAGAAGAGGAGGGGGTAGAAGTGGAGCTGAAACAGATGGAGCTCTCGGCCTTCTCGGCTGGCGGAATAGGATAGCGTTGCATGAGCAGTTTTAGTTCAACCTTGGGGACAAGGTTGATCTTCAAGGGGGGAGTAATGTTAGGACTTAGAGAATATAGGAAAGGAGAAAAAGAATAGAGAAATAAGGAACTGCTGAGCGATTAAGGGGGCGGGACAAATGTCTATATAAGAGGAGCTCTTTTATTGTTTTCGGTAGACAGTTAGAAACTTGGCTTGTGCAGACCGGTTTGAGTACCTGGTGAAGGAGGTTAAGCTCCTGATATCTCATTGTATTCTTGTTTCTTGATGTGAATACCATACTATACGTTGATTCAATTGCTTGTGCTATTCTTTTGACTTGAGAGAGAGAGGAAGATAGTTAGGATTCATACCTTGTTTCCTAACACTTTCAATAGAGCTTATGGAGAAACAACTTTTTTTGTCAAGGTTGGATCTCCATAATCTGGACTTTTTGCCCTTTCTCATTGAAGCTCATAGTTAAGCTTTTCCAGTTAACCTGAACCTCTATGAAGCTAACCAAGTTATCCAAGAATTAAATTTACTCCTTCATGCTCGAACAAATAAAACATTTCCTCCACCACATGATGCTCCTGTATGACTATGTTGCAACAATATCCACTAGTGAGCTTATGATGGCCATCTCCAAACCAGACATTGTGTGGTGGTGTTGCTTCCACTAGAAGATCGAGATCAGCCACCAAATCTATTGAAATAAAATTGTGGCTTGCTCCACTATCAATTAAGATCAGAACCATCATCCCGTTCACCCATCCTTGTAATTTCATTAAGTTGGTTTGAGTCAGTCTCCCTGCTGAAAACAATGATAGTTCCATATGTTTCTACTGAAGATCGAGATCAGCCACCAAATCTATTGAAATAAAATTGTGGCTTGCTCCACTATCAATTAAGATCAGAACCATCATCCCGTTCACCCATCCTTGTAATTTCATTAAGTTGGTTTGAGTCAGTCTCCCTGCTGAAAACAATGATAGTTCCATATGTTTCTACTCTATCTCTTCCTCTTCTCCTGCTGAAAACAATGATAGTTCCATATGTTTCTACTCTATCTCTTCCTCTTCTCCTGTTTTGCCTGCCTCCTCATCTTCAACCATGATTAAGACCCCACATATTCTTCTCTGGTCACCGATGTCCAAGGCTGTAAGCTCCCCCACAATGAAAACATCTCCTTTCTTCCCTTCTTCTGATGTACTCTGGATATGGGAGATTATGTACTCCTCTACTCCTAGCTTTCCCTACCTAATTTCCTCCAATCTTGGAACCAACCGAGGTCCTGCTTCCCACTTTTCTGCCAGTACTAATGTTGATGGAAGTCCCTTTCGAGAGTTTTTCAAAGACAAAACTCCTTTCTTTTTCCCAAACCTCTTGATCAGCACCTCTGTCAAATAATCTCCCAAGAAGGATTCTTGGCCTTCTTTCTCTAGAATCTAAACCGATGGTTGGCCCCTCCTTCCATATTGATAAACACAAACAGAGTTTTTCCTTTGATGAGATGTTCTGAATTTTGAAGAACTTCTCCATTCTTACTGTCCACCCCATAGGATCGGCCCCTTCAAAGGGGGTAATTCCACCCTTTTCATCCAATACTTCTGAATTTCCTCCTTTCCCCCCTTAGAGTCTTCAATTTGTTCTTCTCTCCTTCCCTTTCTTCCTCCATTCACAGAATTCTCACTCCCTTTTGAGCCCCTTTCGTGATTCTTGGATTTCCACAACATTTCTTTAATTTCTTGAATATTGTCTCTCAATTCCACAATCGACTTATCATGTTCACTACCCCACCTTTCAATCACATTCCTTTTGCCTTCCATGATCCTTCCTCTTCTTCATCCGGTAGGTTGGACCAAATGTTAGGTTTCTTGAATGTGATATCCCTTTCTGTGTGAGTGCTAATAAAAATATACAATATTTCCAGGGACAATGTTCCCTCCCTACACAGGATAGCAATAATCATGTTCACACCTCTTCAGAACCAGAATTCTCCCCCGTAGACAGGGCAACCTCTCACTATAAATAGACTTTCACCGATAGTCTCTTCCCCCTCCAAAACTCTTGACAACAACCATTTTTTAACAACCTTCCTCCTAACATGTACATTCATAATCCTATCATACTCTTTCATTTGTTCTTTGAAGAGAATCAAAATAGATCCAAAACAAGTTGAATATTTGGTTTATGTACATTACTTCCAACGTACGTCTAAAAAGGATGAGTGGTATTATTGTATAGAAAAAAGGAGACCAGGTTGTGGGACACTAGTGGAGATATATTCACATAATAATGGTTTTGAGCTTCTTGAATTGGTATCGTCAACCAAATTTAGAAACTTTCTTTGTGGATTGTAGGTGTATGGACTAAATACTTGATTTTAGTTCTACTAAAGATATTTCTATTGATGCAGCTACCCAAGACTGGTTATCACATATCAAGAAACTATACCTTGTTTTGTTATGACCACAAATGCCTTATTGTAAATTGCGATAATCATAGAATTGATGATAAAAAATCAATGTCATTTTTTGTATCAATATTTTGCATCTATATAAAATATCTAATAATTGTATTTTAACATATTCCAAATGTAGTATCCTATAATTCAAAAAATTGTTGTCTCCACATCTGTGTCGTATCATACTCATGTCATATTAAGCATCCAAACTTCATGGGTGATTAGTCTCAGTCGAGAAGTGGACAAAATAGAACTTATAAGCTAATTGGTAAGATTAAGTCAGATTTATAAAAAAAATATTTGCATAATAAAAAAATATTGATGCGTCTAAAAGGATTTTTTACGGTAGTTTAACTGTCATGAATTTAAATCTTCCCAGACCAAAGATAGTAGAGTTACAGGAAAACCTGAAAAAGCCAGCGTGGACTTTCTGGAGAAATTGCCATTCCTAGTGCTAACAGAACAGATGGAACTACTGCAATGCCAAACATTGTCCGCCACCTGATAAAATATAATTAAAAAATCAAATGAGCTAGACAAAGTAGAAAACTAACCAGCAAATGTACCTGGATACCCCAATAAGAAAATATATTGTAAACCATGAAGACATCATGGAAATATGAATTTAACCTCAAAACTAATATTATCAAATTAACCAGGAAGAATTATTTTCGAAAAGAAAGAAATATTACTTTCCAGTGATCCATACATATTGGGTCCAAGCTATTACTTCTATAATGTGAAAATATCAAGTCTAATTTCAAATATTGATAAAAATTAGGCCCTAAAATTGGGTTAAATAGAATTTTTGTGCACCAAGTGAATAATTTATTATCCTTCATTGTAGTGTCCAGATTTCAATATCTATGAATCTGCAATTGCACTTTTATCACAAACCACATGTTTGCAAATAACCATTAATGATGAGACTTCATATTTCTGTTAGGGGAATTTATTAGAATAACATTTGCTATTAGTTGGTGTAGATTGAAAAATATTGCAGAATATTTGATATCCGATTGGTGTACACTACAGAATATCTGTTATTATTGGTGCAAATTTGTTGGTTAAAAATCTTGTACAGCTATAATTATGTAATTATGATAGGTTTCTTGGTAAGAAATCTATCCAAACTCCTCACTCACACACGCTACACCAGAGATAAAGAGAGATAAAGGATAGAAAACTGAATACTTCTACTATTTTTACACCAATCTGTACACTCAAAGCCTCCAAGGGAGCAATTCCCCCTCCACAGGATAAATGTATCCTGTTTATACAAAGAATTTACAAAAACTAAACTCTTACAAGAGTTTCTCAGCCCTTTATATGGGCTCCCTTTTCCCGCCAACTAACTGTTATTACAGTTACACCCTATTTACTCTCCTAACCGTCTCATTCCCTTTTCTCCTTCTCTCTTAGACTCTCAATATCCTATCAAATCATCTACATAATTAGTTAGAAAATCTACAAGATAGCATTAATAATATCAAGTTTTAGGGCTAAAAAAGTGGGGATGGGGTGTGTAAGTTTTCAGCAAACCTCTTTTTGAGATGTTTATTTCTCCAGAGAAGAACACAGACTTGGGATCTGCATCTTTTCTAAGTGGAATATTCTAAACTAAGGAAATCAAACTACTAGAAAATAACTCCTAATGTTTATCTCCAACAAAATCCCCGACATTCAATTCTTATTGAGAAAATACTTGGGATTTAGATACAGACAGAAAATCTTAACAAATTTCTCTCTTCTATTAGCATATTTCCTTCTATCACTGATTTATTCCCCACCAAAAAAATATCTTTACTTCCTTCTAGCATTTTACCATCTCTATATGATATTAATCACCGGAAGAAATAAACAGCTCAGAAAGAAGTTAGGTGAAAACATAACCCTATCCCCACTTAAAAGAGGAAAAAAGCAGTAAGGTGAAACAAGGCAATACCATAAAGGGTTTCCAGCCAAAGGCAACCCAGCTACCAGTGCCAGAAGAATCCCAATACATATAAAAAGTTGATTAACAGAACCTAGTGCACCACGGACTTCAGTTGGTGAAATCTGGCCATAAGAAGGATATGTAGATAGATATCTTATTATCTTATTTAGACAAGATCACAAAGATAAGTATAATTAATAATGCACCTCAGATATGTATAATGGTACTATAGCAGATGTAACACCAATTCCTACACCAGCAAGTAACCGACCAATGATCATTGGCTGAACACTCTGGGCTGTAGCACTGTAAATTTGTCATAACTTATAATGTCAGATTTCAAAAGTATAGACAGATAAAAACTTTTCCTAAATACTAACTGACAGACCTAAGAAATGCTCCAATTGCTAGGGGGATTGCAGCTAATTGAAAAGTCCTAGTTCTTCCAAATTTGTCAGCCAATGATCCGCCAGTAAATGAACCGACGGTGGCACCAGCGAGAAGTGTGCTGACAATCCAGCCTGTTCAGGGATTTTCACTCATGATAATCAAGAGAAAATGATTGATGGGGCATATGCAAGTCATGTTAGAACTTCTAAAATCTCAATAGTAACAGAGTTGGACTTATATGCTGGAACTTTTAATAAAATATTCATTCAAACCTGCTTTCATAGAACTTATTACAAAGTGGTCTAGGCCTAACTTGACTGTAAAAAATTAGCTTGTAAGGCAAGGTGAGGATTGAACTCACTTATATGTTGTATTTTGCACTATCTCTAATCAATGTGAGACTTAGGTTTTTCCCAATAAAGCTTGGTTAATTTGCTGCTTATGTTAACAGTACCATTGGCATGTACACTATAGTCATGAATACTGAAAATCTTCTCTTTATGAGTGCATAAAACAAATTGCATTTTCACATGTAAAAAGTTTTCATTACTTGTTAAATCAATAAAAAAATTTCAAAGTAATTTACATTCATAGATAGATATATTGATGCACACACTTATATAAAACATGAACCTTGTAGAACAGTATTTTCAGTTATTCCTAGATCCTTTGCAAGATATTCAAGAGCACCATTTACCACCCTACATCAAACACCAAATTGTCAGAGTTATCCAACACAAAGATATTATTGAATGAAAAATAGTCACAATTATACCCGAAACCATTATAACATAGATAGCAGCACAAAGAAATGACTTGAGCCATTATAGTCCATCGACCCACATCAAATAGGAAGAAGAGGTTGTACATACCCAAGATGGTAGCCAAATAAAATGGCTCCAAGGCAAGCAACACCAACATATGGTAGCACAGTTCCAGAAGATCTGCTTTGAAGGGTAGTTGGTACAACATCCTCAATGTTTCCATCTGCAACTCAATTTACTTGCTATGAGTATCTGTAAGAACATATAAATATATGTAACAGCTAGCAAGTTATCAAATTACCATTCAAATCTGAATTTTCAAGCTAACTTTTGCATTGTGAATCAAAATATTATATAGAATCGTAAGAGCCAATGAAAAAAGAAATTGAAATATATTGTATAAATGCCATATCTTGTGTTACAGGTTTAAACCAGAAATTGATTAAAACATCTTAACTATATGTCTCACAACAAAATGACAAATCACAAGTGAGTGCGTGTTTCTTAAACCTAAAAATGGAACAATGGAAAAAACAAATAATAATATTGAACAAAAAGAAAGAAGAAAAATAATCAAGTAGGTCATTCAGTTGTGCTCCATCATTTCTGTACGAGAAATGGTTAAACAAAAGTAAAAAGGAAAATAAGTAGTAAAAAACTACGTAATTTGTACTAATGATACAGAATCACACTGATTCATTCACATATTGCACAATCCAAAATCAACTGCTATTCATCACATTATATGTATCACTGGCTAGATGAACCGTACCATACTGAGTGATTCAAATCACAAATACAAGTGAGATTTACACTGTAACCTGACAGAATAGCAGAAGTTGTCCATAGATTTTGATATTTAGAGACAATTTTTAGCACTAAAAAAACTGTTTTCGGAATCATCACATATGAAACTGCAAAAACGTAAGTATAGTAATACCATTCCTAGTATAGAGACAACATTAAGGGCCAACAGAAAAAAAAGGCATTTATAAAAGATGAATTCCGCAGTATAATTAGAATTCCCTCATGCTCAAATTAAACATTCATGTATGAACTGGATTACAAACCACGAGATTCATATCATTCATCATGCAGACTTCATGTTGGGGAAATCGAGCAACAGACTTAACTACCTAAGTCAACAAACATTAGCAACAACACAATCGATAGCTAACACACATAGACAAGCATAATCTTGCTAGAAATAAAACATTAATGCAATTCAAAAAAAAAAAAAAAAAAAAAGCGGCAATGCAAAAAACCAGGTTTTCCAAGAAAGCCAAAAAAGGGCATCATTAAGCAAAACAACACTTGGTCCATCCACATGAACCAAGTACATTATATACACATCACAGGCAAGACAAACGCAATCCGAAAATGCTTCACAATAGATAATAAATCAAACAAATCAAAACCATCAGCAATTGGATACAAACCAGAAGCCATAACCCTCACTGATCTGGGCTTAACGGACGACCCAAAAACGCCACCAAAACCAACACTGGTACTAATTAGCTTAGTTTCCATAGTGGCAGAACCAAGTCTCAACCCGCAAAGATCGGTGTTATTCTTTGCCATGGACACTGTGCTACGTCTCAAAACACTCCCATTTCTGAAGTCCACAAAATCCACCAACGCCCTTCGTTTTGGAACCCCCAAAGTAGCTCCTTTAACACCAAAAGTTGATGAATGCATGGTATCTGATAAAAAAAAAAATCAAATACCCATTAAATCAAAACATAGAATTTTCGAACAATTATATGTAAATGAACAAAAAATATAATGAAAATGCTGCGGAGGAATAAGAAAAATGCCACCGCCAATGCAAATGAACTAAGATGGAAGCGTAAAAGAAAATAAAGTAACAGATGGATTACCTTGTAAAAGGGTGGCACAGAAAGAAGAAAAGGGTGATGAAAATTCTGTACTTTAGAGTGTTGACGTTCACTACGAAGAGTTCAAGCAATTTTTATTCGGGATTTGCGTGTTTTCTGAAGGATGGAAGAAAGGACCTTTGAGAAAGAATCCCTTGGGTGGAACCAAACACTAAGATGAAGCTGGTGAAGATTTCAACTATTTATGTTTTCTAAAACAAAATAATTAGAAAAATTTTTCATCCCAAGCGACAACTCTTCAGGACGTGATTCATCGTCAGACCCAATCTTGATTAAATAATTATGTTAAACAAAAATTTAAAGAATTTGATTTCTGACTAATATTAGTTTTAGCCGAGTTCAAGTAACATTGTTTGCGGATGTTTATAATCTCCTAAAAAAAAGATTCTTTGTTTTGAAAAAAACAAACATAATTTTTTTAAGAATTTTAAAAACTGTATTGAGAATAGTTTTTAATAATTACCCACATATAAAAAAAAAATTATTACAAAGCATATCACTGTATCCTTAACCTGCATAATATTTAGTTTTTTTATAACTTTAAATGATATTTAATAAGGATGTTCATTCACATAAGAACTTATATTAACAAGAGATAAACAGAATAATTAAAAATAACTTTATAGACAAGATAAAATAGTACTAAAACACTATATAAATTTTAAACTATATTAAGGATTTTTAGATGTATTTCAATTAGGATAAACTATTATAAAAGACAAAGTTTTCATTGTGTTGTATATTACTTTTGAGCAATCGAAAACTATAATTTAATGTAGTAAACGTTCTTCTTAAACCCTCAACTCTCATTATTCTTTCGAAGTTTTATTAAAGAATTATTTTAACGTTGAATTGACATCTAGAGTTAATCCTTTATTTTTATTTTTCAAGTCGTTTGCTAAAATTAATTATTTTATGTAAAATTTGTTAATCTTCATTATTATTTAAATTAAAAAAATTAAAATTGTTAATCAAAATATATAAAGCATCATAAATCATATTTTTTTATTGAATTGAATATATAAGCTAATTGTCATAATAAAACACAGTCGCATGAAAAAGAAATTGATATATTAGAATTTTTATGTCAGTAATTTCACCGACATTTTCTGTAAATTTATTATGAAATATAATTCTTGAAATAAACTTTGAAATAAGACTTATCATTGTTTATTGTCAAGAAGAGAAAAGCAAAACATATACTTCTGATTTTTAGTTCATCATGCCAAAAATATTCAGAAGAATAAACAGGTTGCGAGAAAGAAAAAAGACAAAGCAAAAAACAGAGGATTATCTTACGTGGGAATTTTAGGATTAGATTACCGAATGAGGGGTTGCGTTGGCGTGGTCACGAGAGTGCACGTTCGCTTCAGCTGAAACATTGTCTTTTTCTCGCGGCGCCTGCATGGATGGTCCCAGTAACAACCACTGGACCACAGTTTTCTCTGTCTACTTTTTGTTTTTCTTTCATGTCATATTTTCAAAGTATCGTCCTCGTGGAGAAGAAATAGTTTAACCTATAATGGAATAGCTCGTTAAAAATATAATCACTTCTTAATGTTATGTATATAGTAGCACGTTTACAATTTATTATAAATATATATTTTAATTTTTATTATAGTTATTATAATAAACAAACATGTTTAGGAGAGAAGTTTCTTCACCTTTCTTCTTTCACTTGGTTTAGTTCTTGTCTTAAAATAAAACTCATATTTTTGTAGGATAATCACTAGTTATAATCGAATATTTGTAAGTTAGTTTAAGTTATGTTTAAAAAATAATCGATTATTGGATATGATAATCGATTATTCTTTCATATGTGATAAATCTGAAAATTTGATGTGTTAGAACTGGAATAATTGATTATCATAAGTGATAATCAATTATCACAATATGTTTTGTCTAATTATGAACTTTTCGGGAATAATCGATTATCACTTATGATAATCGATTATGCTAGTGCATTTTTGTTAAACATGACGAAATTGATAAAGAAGGGATATGGACCAAGCTTGAGGAGTTGTGGAACGTGATGATAAGTAGAGAATGAGATTAGTGACTATGTTAAGGGTCAGGGTTTGACTTGTGGTTAGGATTGGAGCATGAGTGAGCGATGTGGCGTACCTGAATGTTTACTTGATGAGCATAAGAGTGGAGAATCGTTCTACTTACTGTATCTAGTAAATCCTGAGATTATCTGCGGATAGGTGCTCCCTTTGACATTGGTTGTTGAAAAGAGAGGGTTATCCACTTTGGAAAATAGTTGTGGAAAAGAGAATGGTGATTTAGGTATTAAACCTTCCTTGTGTAGGGGTGATGGTGTTTTCTCTATCCTTGTGTGACAAGAATACATGTTCCTTAACTAGATTGCGGAACTACTCGAGCAGATATATAGGAAAGGCTACAAATGATCTATAGAGGAGGCTACAAATGGTATGTAGGAGAGGCTACAGGTAGGTGAGGTAGGGTACAAAAGTGAGACTAGTTCTTTCCACTATGATGTTTATGGTTCTATAGAGGTTCATGGTGGTGGTTATGATGAGGTTATTCATGATGTGTTACATGTGTTGATGATTGTAATGATGACGACACTCTAGAGGAATGTTATGTTGATAGTGATAATAATATGAGATGTAGTTAGCATAAGCGTTGTTGAGAGAATAAACGGTTAGTTTATGTTTTTTTATGTTTGTGATAACATGGAAGATCAAGGTCCAAGGATCGAGGATCAAGTAATTTAATATGATTGAATTGTTTGTGTTAGAGGATTAGGAATTCTATTGTTAATACTTCTATATATAGGGTGTTTGATTATTATTGATGTTGATATGGGGATCAATATGAATGTTGAACCCCAAACTCTAATAATTTGGTTTTTGAAGATGACAACACATTGACTATAAAAACACACATATATGTTATACTAACACAACAGAAATTTGTATTTGTGTTTGTTACATGTGTTGATTTACAAGTGTTTCTATATGTTTAATACATATGTTATCGTGTTGATTAGCTTGCATACTCTGTGATCATAACTGTGTATATCTTCTGTATGCATGTTAAATGTTTTGATGAGATAAAACATCAAGCACAAATCAATTTTGTATGATAGAATCGATTACATTGATGTTGTAATAAATTGAACTCATAAGATAACTTTTGTTTTGAACTATGGCAAAACAACAGGTTTTGAATCGATTACATTAAATGTTAAATCGATTAAAACTCATGTCTTTGGAAACATCTTTTTGATATGTGCTATGATGAGTTTTGAAGAGAAAAAATATTCAAAATTTGCTTAAGTGTTTAGCTTAATCGATTACATTGTGTATATAATCAATTAAGTCTGTTATGTTTTGAAATATGTTTTAAAGCTAAGTCATAACTGTTTTAACTGTCATATTTTTAAATATGTTGACTAGCATTTATTTCAAACCGATTCCATTAATTGTGCATTCAATTAAATATGTTTGAATTGCAATTGTGTTACATCTGTCATTTATATAACCAATTACATTACTGACGTAATCGATTAATCTATGTCTGTCATGAGATAACTATATATATATATATATATATATATATATATATATATATNCAAACATTAGCAACAACACAATCGATAGCTAACACACATAGACAAGCATAATCTTGCTAGAAATAAAACATTAATGCAATTCAAAAAAAAAAAAAAAAAAAAAGCGGCAATGCAAAAAACCAGGTTTTCCAAGAAAGCCAAAAAAGGGCATCATTAAGCAAAACAACACTTGGTCCATCCACATGAACCAAGTACATTATATACACATCACAGGCAAGACAAACGCAATCCGAAAATGCTTCACAATAGATAATAAATCAAACAAATCAAAACCATCAGCAATTGGATACAAACCAGAAGCCATAACCCTCACTGATCTGGGCTTAACGGACGACCCAAAAACGCCACCAAAACCAACACTGGTACTAATTAGCTTAGTTTCCATAGTGGCAGAACCAAGTCTCAACCCGCAAAGATCGGTGTTATTCTTTGCCATGGACACTGTGCTACGTCTCAAAACACTCCCATTTCTGAAGTCCACAAAATCCACCAACGCCCTTCGTTTTGGAACCCCCAAAGTAGCTCCTTTAACACCAAAAGTTGATGAATGCATGGTATCTGATAAAAAAAAAAATCAAATACCCATTAAATCAAAACATAGAATTTTCGAACAATTATATGTAAATGAACAAAAAATATAATGAAAATGCTGCGGAGGAATAAGAAAAATGCCACCGCCAATGCAAATGAACTAAGATGGAAGCGTAAAAGAAAATAAAGTAACAGATGGATTACCTTGTAAAAGGGTGGCACAGAAAGAAGAAAAGGGTGATGAAAATTCTGTACTTTAGAGTGTTGACGTTCACTACGAAGAGTTCAAGCAATTTTTATTCGGGATTTGCGTGTTTTCTGAAGGATGGAAGAAAGGACCTTTGAGAAAGAATCCCTTGGGTGGAACCAAACACTAAGATGAAGCTGGTGAAGATTTCAACTATTTATGTTTTCTAAAACAAAATAATTAGAAAAATTTTTCATCCCAAGCGACAACTCTTCAGGACGTGATTCATCGTCAGACCCAATCTTGATTAAATAATTATGTTAAACAAAAATTTAAAGAATTTGATTTCTGACTAATATTAGTTTTAGCCGAGTTCAAGTAACATTGTTTGCGGATGTTTATAATCTCCTAAAAAAAAGATTCTTTGTTTTGAAAAAAACAAACATAATTTTTTTAAGAATTTTAAAAACTGTATTGAGAATAGTTTTTAATAATTACCCACATATAAAAAAAAAATTATTACAAAGCATATCACTGTATCCTTAACCTGCATAATATTTAGTTTTTTTATAACTTTAAATGATATTTAATAAGGATGTTCATTCACATAAGAACTTATATTAACAAGAGATAAACAGAATAATTAAAAATAACTTTATAGACAAGATAAAATAGTACTAAAACACTATATAAATTTTAAACTATATTAAGGATTTTTAGATGTATTTCAATTAGGATAAACTATTATAAAAGACAAAGTTTTCATTGTGTTGTATATTACTTTTGAGCAATCGAAAACTATAATTTAATGTAGTAAACGTTCTTCTTAAACCCTCAACTCTCATTATTCTTTCGAAGTTTTATTAAAGAATTATTTTAACGTTGAATTGACATCTAGAGTTAATCCTTTATTT